TTTTTCTGCATCTAATGATATAATCATGTGGTTTTTGTTTTGACATCTATTGATGTATTTTATTACATTTATGGTTTTACAAATGTTCAACCAGCATTGCATCCCAGGGATGAAGCCTACTTGGTCATGATGGATGATTTTTGAGATGTGTTGTTGAATCCGGTTCGCTAGGATTTTGTTGAGAATTTTAGCATCTATGTTCATCAAAGATATTGGCCTGTAGTTCTCTTTCTTTGTTAGGTCTTTACCTGGCTTGGGTTTCAATGTGATGTTAGCTTCGAAAAATGATTTGGGGAGAGTTCTATCTTTCTCAATCTCCTGGAATACCTTCAGTAGGATTGGTATAAGCTCTTCCTTAAATGTCTTGTAGAATTCTGCTGGAAAGTCATCTGGTCCAGGGCTTTTTTTGTAGGTAGTTTTCTTATTATGTAGTCAATTTCCTTGATTGTTATTGGTCTATTTAGAGTCTTAATTTCTTCTTGTTTCAACCTAGGCAGGTTGTGTGATGACAGAAAGTCCTCCATTTCTGAAAGGTTTTCAAGTTTCTTTCCATACAAGTGTACATAATAGTCTCTAATGATCTTTTGTATTTCTTCAGAATCAGATGTGACTTCATCTTTTGTGTTTCTGATTGTGTTTATTTGGGCTTTTTCTCTCCTTTTCTTGGTCAGTCTAGCTAGGGGACCATCGATCTTGTTTATCCTTTCGAAGAACCAGCTTTTTGATTCATTGATTTTTTTTGTATTATCTTTTTGTCTTCTATGTCCTGGGTTTGGGCTTTTATTTTGGTGATCTGGATCTTCTGTTGAAATTAGGGTTTTTGTGGTCTTGCTTTTCCAGTTTCCTTAGGTGGTTTGTTAGGCTGTTAATTTGTGATCCTTCCATTTTCTTCATGTGCGTTTGTAGGGATATAAATTCTCTTACTACAGCTTTCATGGCATCCCAGAGATTTTGGTAAGATGTTTCTTCATTTTCATTTGTTTCCAGGTATCTTTTAATCTCTGTTTTGATTTCATCATTAACCCAGGAGTTGTTTAGCATCATGCTGTTTAGTGTCCATGTCTTTGTGGATTTTGGGGGGATCTTGTTGGTGTTAATGTTTATTTTTGTTCCACTGTGGTCTGAGAAGGTGCATGGTAAAATTTCAGTCCTTTTAAATTTGCTTATGCTTGATTTATGGTCAAGTATGTGGTCAATCTAAGAGTACGTTCCATGTGGTGATGAGTAGAATGTGTATTCTGTGGTCTTTGGATGGAGGGTTCTGTAGGTATCAATTAAGTCCATTTTATCAAGAGTTACATTGAGGTTTCAAATCTCGTTGCTGATTTTTTTGTCCTGATGATCTGTCTAGGGTTGTGAGTGGGTTATTAAAGTCCCCAGCTATGATAGTATTGGAGTTGATATCTTTTTTTAGTTTAACTAGGAGCTGCTTTATGAAAGCTGGTGTTCCTATGTTCGGTGCATATATGTTTAAGATGGATATTTCTTGTTGATGGATTGAAGCTTTTATCATTATGTAGTGACCTTCTGTATCTTTTAAAATTTTTGATAGCTTAAAGGGTGTTTTGTCTGAGACTAAGATCGAAACTCTGCCTTTCTTTTGTGTTCCGTTCACCTGAAAAATGGTTTCCTATTCTCTTACTTTGAGTCTATGAGTGTCCTTTCTAGTGAGGTGAGTCTCTTGAAGGCAATAGATTGTTTTCTGGTGATATTTTATCCATTTTGCCATTCTATGTCTTTTCAGTGGTGCATTTAGTCCATTCACATTCAAACTAATTATTGAAATATGAGAGTTGATCCCTATCATAATATTCTTACAGATTTGTTCTTCAGTTTCTGTGTTGTCTTTCTTTTGGTTTTAGAGTTGGATCATGTGTGTTTTTAATATTTTTCCTGTACTCTTGTGAAGAACATTGTTGTTCGTTTTTCCTTTTCTTCTGTATTCAATACTTTCTTAAGTGTTTCTTGTAGAGGTGGTCTGGTGGCAGCGTAGCTTCTTAGGGGTTGGATATCTGGGAAAGATTTCAATTCTCCCTCACTGATGAAGCTTAGCTTGGCTGGGTAG